TAGGCAAGTCCTCTAACATTGAGCCACAACCCAGCCCTAGCACTTTAACTTTCAGTCCGTGGATCTGTGTGCTTGTTTGTTTGATTGGAAGTCTCCTTCTTAAGACCAAAAGTGCAGGGAGGACAGACACTGTTTTGGGTGTTACAACAGCCCTAGCACAGTGCCTCAGAGAAGCAGAAGGGTAACATGTACTCGTGGGAGGGACAAGTTTATTAATGAACTGAAGATGAAACTGGGAAGTCAGTAACATCTGCTTCTGTGATCGAATTCCTTGAAGTCTGTCTTCAACAGTGTAATGCTGTGATGAAGGGGCCCCTTTGCCCCTAAATCTTTCCCATAGCAAAGGGATGTACAGTGGACCCTTGACTTACGAACTCCATCTGTTCCCAAGGGTTGGTTGTAACTCAGGTTGATTGTAAATCAATACAGCTGCGATCTGGATGTCTCCCTGGGCATATGCTATAGATAACAAGAGGCAGATGAATCGTCCATTAACCTAATTAACCAAGTTGTTTGTTTCTCGGGCCAGTCTCTGAACTTGAGAGTCCACTGTATTCATCTCTTCTCTCCCTCAGCCCTGTCTTCAGTCAGTTCTCCCCAGTCCATCTTTCTCCTTCTTTTCTCCCTTATCACAACTTTCAGCAGGCTTTTTACAGCCCAATTTCTTTCTCTTTTTTGGTACCGGGGATTGAACTCAGGTCCTTGCGCTTGTGCAGCAGGCGGCGAAACCACTGAGCTAAATCCCCCGTCCTACAAGCCCAATTTCACCAAATCATCTCAATCAAAACAGCTGTGATGACACCGCCTCTATCTCACAGATGGTAAGTCTGAGGTTTAGAGAAATTCACCTTTGCCAATATGCACATCTATTAAGTAATGAAAGTAGACTTGGAACTTCCAAATAGTTCTCTTCACTTATTCTTTTCATTCATTCCACATTTACCTGGTCATCTCCCATATGGATGGCACGAGGTAGTTGAGTACAACAGGGATACTTAAGCCCTTTCACTCGTGGGTTAGAGCAATTTATTTAGTATCATATCCACCTGCTTGTGAATAGCATGTGTCTGTGGGTGCGTGCACGTGTGTGTGGTGACAAGTAATAATTAAATTTTTTTTGTAGTGCTGAAGATCAAACCTAGGGCTTTGCACATACTAGGCAAATAATCTACCATTGAGATGTACTCTTAGCCTTTTTTTTTTTGGTCATGTTACAAACTTGTTTAAAAAACTTGTTTTGCTCAAAATATCTAAAGAACTGGCCACATTGAGTACATCAGTTTTAATGGCTGGGGGTGGAAAGTGGAAATGGGAAT